TTACAATTCTTACGCAGATAGTAAAGCGCGTGACCCAGAAAAAAACTTTGTTCTATGATAAGTGTGGTGAAAATACAAAGTTTTTAACCAAACGTAGCCTGTAGAGCTTTAGGGTGTATGAGTAGGTATAGAACAAGTTCAGTAGCATAACGTGGTCTAGCTTTAACCACTTTAAAATCATTCAAGTTTGCTTATCTAGTGCCATCGCATGATCTTGTTTTAAATCCTTCTGAATTTGTTTAGTAACAAGTGAAAACGTCAGCTATTTTATCGAAGCAATCCAGGGAGTTGCAAAGAACAAGTGTTTACAATGGCACATTAGGTAGCCGATTGAGAAGTGTCATGCTCCAGACAGAGTGCACAGTTTTTTCGCACGGTAAACCTTCCACCCTCTTGAGATCACTGATAAATAGGACTTTCAAGGTCTTTATTTCTTGGGGGATCCAGGGCGCATACATATTAATCAATGGGGGAAAGAGAGCAACTAATCTGGATAATGTACTTCTCTAGACATTAAATAAATAGACAGAAACAGTTAATCTTCAGGATCGTAGCTAGGATTTTTTCTAAAGGCGGAGGATCACATCGTGTCAATCAGGGGGTAAACACCTGATTTTCATGTCGACCTCCACGCCTTGTTTTACTTGATGTGAAAAAAGGGTCACCAAGGGGGTCACGGTCACCCGAGGACTTCCCCTAGCTACGCTATTGATCTTTCTATCATGAAAAAAGTAAGGTTGCGTAAACTGCATTTTTTTCAACCCCGCTGAAAAAAAATGGAATCTGATACACTGATTGGAAACTGAAAAGAGAAAAAAAAGAGGAAATGACTGAACGTTATTTTGAGTTACAAGCATATGAAGCTAAAAGTAAGGGTCATTTCAAGAGGGCATATCGTTTCTACAGAAACATGCTGCGTCTCGGACTGGGTCTTGAATTGATCAGGCATGTTCGTTGGCTTTTCTGATATTATCGAGGAAAAATTCCAGCAATAAACTGGAAAATTTAGTGAAAGGAACTGTTTTTAGCCTCCCTAAGAAGAATGTAAAATATGCTTCAAAATGGCTGATAATATCTTTCAATGTTACACACTTTCTAATGGTCGCTTTTTGACCGACAAATTTAAGGGAATAAATGGTAATCATGAAGAAGCAAGTTCAGTCGTTTTTCTGCCAATTATGGAACTTATCGATTTGTCAATTATTAAATACGAATACAATGTCAACTGCAAATTCATTTATTATTATTTTTACTTCATACTATTGTGGCTTGAAAACTTGCAACATTTCACACTAATGTCAATTCCCAGTACAATTGTACATGTATCTTACTGCACNACGTATGGGGTAAATACGATTAAAGGCTCTATCTTCGTATACAAAGAAGCCACCTACTAAATGACGTGCAGATATAGCATCGAACTAATGGTGAGTAATAAATAATAGTTATTTAAACTTTCTCTTACCTCCAGCTAAAGTTTTAGATAATAACAACAAATTCGAGTAAATAATGAGCCAGATACACATGCATTATCTGACCTGTGCACTTAGTATATATGTGCAATGGGGTAAATACGATAGCTTAACATTGTCTTGCAACGAAGGCACCAACTGACAGCATCGAACAAGTGATGACTGGATAGATGTGTCACAATCATTAAGCTTTTCTATAATCTCCAGATATAAGCAATTTTTGGACAAATTTAACTTGTTCTTAATAAATCATTTAATATCTTACTTTATTATCTGCTCAGAGGGTTTTTTAGAGCGGTAGAAATGGAGTGAACACTTCTATACACCTCGAGTCGTACTAAATCTGACATCGATTGAACCGAAATGTCACCTATCTTTTCAATAATACAACAGTTAATTTCACCGATGTTTCTTAGTGTTTCTATAATTTTAGTCATAATTGAAGGAAAGCTGCTTAAAGGTAATGGCTTGCTTTAAGTGGTCATCTGGAGAAGGACTCGAGAAAGCAGTGCTGCCGCTTACAAAACTGTTTCTTGCAGCATATCCATAAACTCATCAAGGTCGTGGTCATCATCAAACGTGGCTAGTGGTGCCCTTGGAGATTCTCGCCCTGTGACCTCTAGGAAATTGTCGTCCTGGTTGTCTTTTTCATTTGAACAACAACAACAAAAAAGGAAAGGTTGGTCACTTTGAGTTTTATAGAAAGCTCTGTTTCAAGAATAATGAAAAAAATAGTTTTTTTGCACAAGTTGTCCACATTACAAAAAAGAGATGTTTCGAAGTCCTTTCTAGAGGTGACAGAGAATAAGTTAAATTACCTTTGTCAATGATAAGCTTCTCGTGTTCTGCTGTTTCATCAAGGTCATGGTCGTCATCAAATGTGGCCAGCGGTGACCTTGGAGATTCTCGGCCGGTGGCTTCTGGGAAATCGCCGTCAGGTTTGCCTTCTTTTACTGAAAAAAATAAAACAACAAAAGAAAACTTTGGTCACTGTGCAATATAGAAAGATAAAACTTTGTTCGAGGAATAATGAAGAGAGATTGTTATATTTTTATGAAGAGTTGATAAAGAATGGGTCAACTTACCTTTATCAGTGATAAGCTGCTCGTGCTCTGCAGGGTCTTCATCCGTGTCTTCTTCAGTTTTCTGTTCAGGTTCTTCTTGGTGTTCTTCGGATTCTTTTTCTTTTTCAACCTCAACCTGCTGCTCTCCAGCTTTCCCATGATCCTCTTTTGGTTCTTCCTCCTGTTCAGGTTCAACTTTCTGCTTTTTACATTCTTTAGGGTCTACCTTTGGTTTTCTTTGATCAGTTTCCACGTGCTGCTGTTGACTCCCTTTCTTATCTTCTTTTTGTCCTCCTTGTTCAGATTCACCTTCCATTTGTTCAGGCTGTTTGTGATCTTCTTTTGCTTCTCCTTGTCCTTCAGTTTCACCTTCCAGCTGGTCGGCGGGTTCTGCATGTTGCTCAAGTCCACTCTGCTCTTCTTCTGAACATCTATCACTGTCATCGCTCTCTGCCTCTTCCTGGTTTTGGACTATGACAATGATAATTAAAATAATAACAATAATAATAATAATAATAATAATAATAATGAACTGATACAACACAATTGGGTGGTGTTAGAAAATATGCAGATTCCCTTAACCTTACTCCCATAATATCAGTCACATTCAGAGGATTTTATCACGGTATTCCATTTGTTTATTTATGTTTATCGTAAACCCAAAAGAGAGAGCAAGAATAGTTTATCAATGTCGGCTAATTACACAGAACGTTCATACGACAAGTCATGGTGACGTTTCGGTTTGACCACATTGCAATCTGTCTCCATCTTATTCTATTTCTGCATATTATCGTGTCATTCATAATGCGTACCTTCTTCAATAACCCTCATTTCCATGCCCTGTTCTTGACCTTATGGAAGGAAGAAATGACACTCGTTGACTTAAACTAATGAAGAGAAAGATTTACCTTACATAGCTTAGTTTGCCAAACCCCCCCCCTTCTCGGACAGATTACTCTTGCATTGTGCAGAGTTGCCTTTTTGGGGGGCCGATTGAGAAGTGTCATGCTCCAGAC